GCCTGTAGTCCCAGCTACTTGGGAGGCTGAGGCAGGAGACTTGCTTGATCCCAGGAGTTGGAGGTTACTGTGAGCTGTGATGCTATGGCACTCTACTAAGGGTGATTTAGTGAGACTGTCTCAAAAAAAAAAGAAAAAGAAAATCAAACCAAAGACACAACACCCTTTACAACAGCATCAAACACACACACATATATATGTTTATTTATTTTTTGAGACACAGTCTCACTCTGTGCCTAGGTAGAGTACTGTGGCATCATAGCTCACAGCAACCTTAAACTCCTGGGCTCAGGCAACCCCCTTGCCTCAGCCTCCCTAGTAGCTGGGACTACAGGAGCTTACCATAATGCCCAGCCAGTTTTTCCATTTTTAGTTGAATTGAGGTCTTGCTCTTGCTCAGGCTGGTCTTGAACCCCTGAGCTCAAGGGATCCTCCCACTGAACCCTCCCAGAGTGCTGGGATTATAGGCATGACACACCACACCTGGCCACTTGGAATATATTTAATATAGGATGTGAAATATCTCTACAGAGAGAACTATGAAACCCTGAGAAAAGAAACAGCATAAGACATTAACAAATGGAAGAACATACTATCTTCATGGCTTGGAAGAATCAATATTTGTTAAAATGTCTATACTATCCAGTGCAATCTACAGATTTAATGTGATACCCATTAAAATAGAAAAGACAAAAAGAAAAAGACAAATAATACCCATTAAAATACCAACATCATACTTTAAATATCTTCAAAGAATAGTTCTATGTTTTGTATGGAGCCAGAAAAAAATCCAAATAGATAACACAATTCTATGAAATAAGAACAAATCTGGAGGCATCACTTTATAAGACTTCAGGCTATACTATAAGGCTATAGTGATCAAAACAGCATAGCACTGGCACAAAAATAGAAATATAGAACAGAAAATCTGGAGATGAAACCAGCCTCATTTCATCTCACATGTGACTTTTGAAAAGCAAACAATAGCATGCATGGGGGAAAAGAATCCCTACTCAATAAATGTTGCTGCTGGCCGGGCACAGGGACTCACGCCTGCGATCCCAGCACTCTGGGAGGCTCAGGAGTTGGAGACCAGCTTGAGCAAGAGTGGAGTTGGAGGTCAGCTTAAGCAAGAGCAATACCCCATCTCTACTAAAAATAGAAAAACTAGCCAGGTGTGGTGGTGGGGCCTGTAGTCCCAGCTACTTGGGAGGCAGAGGCAGGAAGACTACTCAAGCCCAAGAGTCTGAGGTTGCTGCAAGCTATGATGCCACAGCACTCTACCCAGAGTGACAGAGTAAGACTCTGTCTCAAAAAAAAAGGTGCTGGAAGAACTGGTTGGCCACATGTAAAAGATTGAACACATACCTCTTACCACTTACAAAAATTAACTCACTATGGATAAAAGTTTTAAATCTAAGATATGAAACTATAAAAACTTTAGAAGAAAGTGTAGGCTCAGAGTCTATAGCTCAGTGGTTACGGTGCCAGCCACTTGCTGGCCTGGGCCTGCTAAACAAACAAAAATAGCCGGGCATTGGGCAGCACCTGTGGCTCAGTGAGTAGGGCGCTGGCCCCATATACTGAGGGTGGTGGGTACAGGGGCGGGGGGAAAGGATGCTGAATTTTGTGAAATGCTTTTTTCTGTATCTATTAAAAGGATCGTATAGTCTTTGTTTTTATTTCTACTCCTGTGATGAATCATGTTTATAGATGTGCACATGTTGAACCAGCTTTGTCCACCTGGTCATGATGAATTATTTTTTTGATGTATAGCTAGATTCTGCTTGCTATGATTTTTTTTTTAGACAGAGTCTTACTATGTCATCCTGGGTAGAGTGCCCTGGTGTCACAGCTCACAGCAACTTCAAATTCTTGGGTTTAAGCGATCCTCTTGCCTTAGCCTCCCAAGTAGCTGGGACTACAGGTGCCTGCCACAACGCCAGCTATTTTTGTTGTTGTTATTACAGTTGTCATTGTTGTTTAGCAGGCCCTGGTTTGGTTCAAACCTGCCAGCCCTGGTGTATGTGGTTGGCGCCCTAGCCACTGAGCTATGGACACCGAGCCTGCTTGCTAAGATTTTATTGACTGTTTTTGGATCAATATTCCTTAACAATATCGGTCTGCAGTTTTCTTTGTTGTATCCTTTCCTGGTTTTGGTATGGGATGATATTTGTTCATAAAAGAGTTGGGGAGGGTTCTTTCCTTCTCAGTGTTTTGGAATAGATACTGCAGTATAAGTACAAGCTTTTCTTGGAAGGTTTGGTAGAATTCTGGTGTGAAACTGTCTGGTCTGGTACTTTTTTCTTTGTGACAACAGTCTCACTGTATCGCCCTTGGTAGAATGTCATGGCATCATAGCTCACAGCAACCTCAAACTCTTGGGCTTAAGTGATTCTCCTAACTCAGCCTCCCAAGTAGCTGGACTACAGGCACCCGCCACAATGCCCAGGTCTTTTTTTGTTGTAGTTGCCATTAATTTTTGGCAGACTCAGGCCAGGTTCAAACCCACCAGCCCTGGTGTATATGACTGGTCCCCTAGTCGCTGAGCTACAGGCCCAAGCCCTGGGACTTTTTTTTT